TGGTCCTGCTATCATGCTGCAGTGGTAATTTTGTGTCTGTGGTGCAGACAGCCTGGGTGTTCACACTGCCGTTTTGTGGGCTCAAGAAGATTAACTACTTCTTCTGTGATATTCCCCGACTCATCATGCTCTCCTGCACTGACACCTCTTCATACGAAAAGCAGACCATTACAGCCACAGCACTGGTCATCTTCGCACCGTTTTGTCACATCCTAGTATCCTATGCCTGCATCATCTCCAGCAGCCTGAAGATCTCCTCTGCAGAGGGCAGGCAAAAGACCTTCTCCACCTGTTTCTCACACCTTACTGTTGTAACACTATATTATGCAAGTGGAACCTTGATTTACTTACATCCAAAATCCAGTAATTCACAAGACACTAAGAAAGTCCTAGCTCTTGTATACACAACCATAATTCCCATATTAAACCCCCTGATTTACAGCCTGAGAAATAAAGAAGTGAAAGGAGTACTAATCAAAATTATAGCTGAGCTGAGGAAGGTACAAACTTATTCTTCTTGAAAAGAATCTTTCTTCTCCTCTGTATACTTGGATTTTTTGTTTCTTTTATGCTTGGCTTTTTTTAAACACCCTGATACTTGGAATACTTGGAAAATTTATGTATCTGAAACTCTACTTGGAGATACTGTGCTTCTTCTGTCCAGTATAAGTGTACATGAATCTTACTACTTCAGTATTCATGATGCACCACCTTGTGTCATCTGATGGAAAATGAGTTTTTAATCTTTGTTTCCAAGAAAAAAAATTAATATGTCATACAGTGCAGTCACTGTAGCAGAGCCTGCATTGTGTCTTGGACAGGCAGCTTGTCACCTGGGTCATAGTCTCATTTGCATTTTGCACGTCTCTGTCACTAGTTCTTTACGTCGTGACTAAAAATTTTTGGAGAAGTGCCTGAGAGCCTCATACACACACTCACAGATAAATGACTCCAGGACCTTGGAGTCATTTATCTTCTGTCATTTGGAAAGAGGGAGGAGATCAGCTCTAACTTTGTCTGAGAGAATGGGAAACTGAATGCACTCTCCTACATGACCAATGAATGCTCTAAGTCCACAAGCGCCTGTGTCAAAGCATGGCCTCAGCCTGCATATGTCATTTCACCTGGTAATACAGAGAACCTGGGCCAGATTTCCTAAGGTTCTTCTGTCTCAGGTTTCAGTGCAGCACATGTTCCCTTTCAGCAGACTCCAGAGACCAAGACTCTTCGTTTCATCTTCCAAGAGTGAGTGGGAGCAAAATGTGTTATTTGGTGAATTTGCTTAAACAGAAAAATAATCATAATGAGCAAGAAAAAAACCTCTCATGGGAGTCGTCTCCACTGAGTTTTGCCTGTTGCCTTTTAGGGACAAATACTAGAGACAAGCATGAGTGTGGTTCTGAGTTGCCTTCTTTTGCAGTCCAGATGGTACAACCACCACCTTATAACACTGGACTTTGTCAGTCATCTCCAGCACCAACCTTCTGCAAGGATGCCCTGAGGACCAGGAAGCTCCTCAGAACAACCAGATCTCCAATGGCCTCTGAGTATGCATGTGTGCACATTTGTGTGTATACATGTACATGTATGCTTGTGTACATATGAGTGTGGGAGAACTCTTTGCTCAGATCCTATTGAGAACTTCTTGCATACTTGGGTAGGTGGCAGAGGTGTCCACAGTGTGCTGGAGGTTGGTCTTGGACAGTGCTCAGTGGAAATGGGCTACCCTTGCCCTTCTCAGCTGATATAGGGATGACCTACCTGGTGTTACACCATCATTTGCCTCAGAAGGAGTAAACTACTTGAATCTTTGTGATTCTCCTCCTGCCCTGAGTGACATCTGTGGAAGAGACTGTTCCCTGCTCTTCTCATCTCTCATATTGCCCTCATTCAAGGCTTTCTGCACCTTTGAAACACTCCTGATTTTAGAAAAATGCAGTAAAGGCATCTGCATTTTAGCTAGCTGTCCGTTTTCTCTAGATAATGAAAAGAAACAGGTATTTCTTGAGAATGGCTCATCTGTCCTACTTTAAATTCCTAATTTAGGATCAGGGCCTAACAGAATACTATGTCCTTTTCTCTCTGGTGATAAACCCTATTAAAAAGACCATGGAACAACTAATCTAAACAACATCCATAGAATATGACAGAAACATATAAAAAACCTTTATACGAAAAAGCTACAGAAAATGCAGTTGTTAAAACCACAATTAGACATTAGAGGCAGAGGGAGGGGTAGTCACTACCTTATTTAAGTAACACTTGGGAAACAGTCAAGACTGCAAGAGACATGAGTTCTCAACATTTTCAAGCCGAGGGGATTGAAACCTGTAGTGCCCTTACTGTTATGGTATAGTGTACATACAGGTGGGAGATGGCGTTCTCTAGGCTTCCTCCTAAAGCTGAGCTGCAGTGCAGAAAAGGCAGAAAAATTCATTTTAACTGTACATTTTTACTTTTCTTAAAGGGGGAACATAAGGGACAATTTACCTTCTTCTCTGCTAGTAAGTGCAAATGCAGTTTATTTTGTTTGTGTGTTCGTTTTCTTCAGTACTTGGCACTAACAGACCTCAGTAAAGGATATGTTATTGTAGGTAGTCTTCTTTCCTATGAAAGACTGGTTATGGAGTATTCAGAAGGATAAACAGCAGGTTCCAAGCCTCCATAAGAGATGGAAAAATGCATTAGGTATCCTCCTAGTAGGACCTAACTATATTTTACTGAATGAAAGCAGGATTCTCCACATAAGAATGCAGCCACAGAGATCTTCAATTAGCTGTTCCAATGCACTCCAATGTTTAAGAAAAAAAGATTGAAAGTCGGTAAGCTTCTGTATGCATCTAAAAGTAATCAGGCTTACTATCACTCCCTTTTTGAGACTTTGGTTTATTCATTGTCTTCCTAAAAGGTTTGAGCATAGTATCTCTGAGAAAATTGAACACTCTAACCTATCAAGACAGAGATGGAGGTGGGGAACGGGGAAGGATAAAGATGGGTTTGTCCTCTTTTTTTGGTTGGGGTTTTGGTGTTTTTATCTTGTTCATTTTACATTTCACAGGGGAGAGGGCAGGGTGCCTTCTGCTACTGTTGAGCTGTTCAGATGATACGAAGATATGTGGAAATGGATTCCATGAAGATTTGTCAGCATTTTAGCAGAGAGGCAATGGAACTGTCAGAATGGAACATACGAGTCTCTAAGGAGATCTACCAAAAACATTAACTCAACTCTAAACGTGATTTATCCTCTGACTGTAGAAGCAGCTAAGATGACACCCTGGGAAACAGATCACTTGTAGGTACCTGGACATGGCAGGCAGAGAGGAATTCACCTTCCCTAACTTCACTGTTTAATTACCCACACATAGGCATAAAGTACAATTTCAGAGCCACAGGCGTACCCCACCTGACCACCAGAAGCTGATACATAGAATGACAGAATTGTAGTGTCCTGGTTTGGCTAAAACCAGGCTATTTTCTCCTTTCAGGAGTTTTTTCTTTCCATCAAATCCCTTCTAAGTAACTGCACTTTCTGAAAGTACAGCTACATGTTTTCCAGACACTGTCTGCGTTTCAGGCCTGATAACGCTCGGGCCGGTGCCGGGACACCCGGGTGCCCGCCCTGCTGCGGCAGCAGCTGAGCCTCTGGGCGCTGTGGCCTGCGGCCTGCAATCCCCCACCATCATCGGGACGCTCAGTATCGGGTTTGTATACTTTTTCTCTTATTTCCACTA